TGTACCGGCTCTGTCTGTCTGGCTGTACTGTACAGGGTCCGTCTGACTGTACTGTACCGGGTCCGTCTGACTGTACCGGGTCCGTCTGACTGTACCGGCTCTGTCTGACTGTACCGGCTCTGTCTGACTGTACCGGCTCTGTCTGTCTGTCTGTACCGGGTCCGTCTGACTGTACTGTACCGAGTCCGTCTGACTGTACTGTACTGGGTCCGTCTGACTGTACCGGGTCTGTCTGACTGTACCAGGTCCATCTGGCTGTACCGGCTCTGTCTGACTGTACCGGCTCTGTCTGACTGTACCGGGTCTGTCTGACTGTACCAGGTCCATCTGGCTGTACCGGCTCTGTCTGACTGTACCGGCTCTGTCTGACTGTACCGGGTCTGTCTGACTGTACCAGGTCCATCTGACTGTACCGGCTCTGTCTGTCTGGCTGTACCGGGTCAGTCTGACTGTACTGTACCGGATCCGTCTGACTGTACTGTACCGGGTCCGTCTGACTGTACCAGGTCCATCTGACTGTACTGTACTGGGTCCGTCTGACTGTACCGGCTCTGTCTGACTGTACTGTACCGGGTCCGTCTGACTGTACTGTACCGGGTCCGTCTGACTGTACCAGGTCCGTCTGGCTGTACTGTACTGGGTCCGTCTGACTGTACCGGCTCTGTCTGACTGTACCGGGTCAGTCTTTCTGTACTGTACCGGCTCGTCTGGCTGTACCGGGTCAGTCTGTCTGGCTGTACCGGGTCTGTCTGTCTGACTGTACCGGGTCTGTCTGTCTGACTGTACCGGGTCTGTCTGTCTGACTGTACCGGGTCTGTCTGACTGTACTGTACCGGGTCAGTCTGTCTGACTGCACTGTACCGGGTCTTTCCTGCAGGTGTCTCTGCTGATCCGCAGGGAGCTGTTCGAGCGAGCCAAAGACTTCAACATCATCCTGGACGACGTGGCCATCACCGAGCTGAGCTTCAGCCGGGAGTACACCGCCGCCGTGGAGGCCAAGCAAGTCGGTGAGTGGACAGGAAGTGACATCAGCGAGTGCACAGGAAGTGATGCCTTTCAGTGGTATAATAGGGTATCGTAGCAGATTCTTTAAATCGATTCATCTGGTTCTGAATTGATTCAGTTTGATCTGCTCTAAAATAATGAAAATGCTTCAACTGTTGAAAATACAAACTGACTAATTTTTCTCTTCACCATAAACGACAGGTTTTAAAGGACAAACTTTTAAAATAAAACAGTTTAATCTTGAAACCAAACTGTCTCAAGCTTCAAAGGTTTTAAATTAAAAAGGCATTATAAGAGACAGTGTTGTTGGATGATTCATTTCTAAGAAATGTAATCTTTTTTTGATAAATAAGAAGTGATGGAATAAGGCTGCAGGAGAAGAGGTGGGCTGGTATAAATATACTGCTGCCCACTTTGAGCATGAAAATTATATATTTGTAATGTTTCTGTTAGCTTCTGTTGTTCATTAAAACTTATTAAAACAAAAAAGGAAAAATGATACAACAACATTTCATCAAGACGTTTTTAAAGTGTAAAAATAATAATATTGGTAACAAAACTAAATGATTTTGTCAGAATCAGGTTTATTGACCAAGTATGTTGACACACAAGGAATTTGTTTCCGGCTGTTCATGTCTCTAGTATTAACAATATACACATACTTTACATATAAATTACACAACACAGAGAAAGATACACAATATACTTAGTATACCAGGATATACAGTGCCTTGTTAAAGTATTCGGCCCCCTTGAACTTTTCAACCTTTTGCCACATTTCAGGCTTCAAACATAAAGAGATAAACTTTAATTTTTTTGTGAAGAATCAACAAGTGAGACACAATCGTGAAGTGGAACAAAATTTATTAGATTTTTTAAACTGTTCTAACAAATAAAAACTGAAAAGTGGGGAGTGCAAAATTATTCATCCCCTTTTACTTTCAGTGCATCAAACTGACTCCAGGAGTTCATTGAGGGTCTCTGAATGATCCAGTGTTGTCCTCAATGACTGATGATGATAAATAGAGTCCACCTGTGTGGAATCAAGTCTCTGTATAAATACACCTGCTCTGTGACAGACTCAGGGTTCTGTTTAAAGTGCAGAGAGCATCATGAAGACCTCAGGCAGGTCCCAGATACTGTTGTGGAGAAGTTAAAAGCTGGATTTGGATACACAAAGATTTCCCAAGCTTTGAACATCTCAAGGAGCTCTGTGCAAGTGATCATAGTGAAATGGAAGGAGTATCAGACCACTGCAAAGACCTGGCCGTCCCTCTAAACTTTCATCTGGAACAAGAAGACTGATCAGAGATGCAGCCAAGAGGACCGAGATCACTGTGGATGAACTGCAGAGATCTACAGCTGAGAGTCTGTCCACAGGACAACAATCAGTCGTACACTGTACAAATCTGGCCTTTATGGAAGAGTGGCAAGAATAAAGACATTTATTAAAGATATTCATCAAAAGTCTCGTTTAAAGTTTAAAGCCACCTGGGAGACACAGCAAACATGGAAGAAGTTGCTCTGCTCAGATGAAACCAAACATCAAACTTTCTGACCACAATGCAAAACACAGCTCATCACCCTGAACACACCATCCCCACTGTCAAACATGGTGGTGGCAGCGTCATGGTTTGGGCCTGCTTTTCTTCAGCAGGGACAGGGAAGWTGGTTMAAAMTGATGGGAARRTGGATGGAGCCAAATMCAGGACCATTCTGGAAGAAAACCTGCTGGAGTCTGTAAAAGACCTGAGACTGGGACGGAGATTTATCTTCCAACAAGACGATGATCCAAAACATAAAACAGAATCTGGTTCATAGTTAAACATATCAGGTGTTAGAATGGCCAAGTCAAAGTCCAGACCTGAATCCAATCCAGAATCTGTGGAAAGAGCTGAAAACTGCTGTTCAAACGCTCTCATCCAACCTCACTGAGCTCCAGTTGTTTTACAAGGAAGAATGGGCCAAACTGATAGAGACCCCAAGAGACCTGCAGCTGTGGCGCTACAAAGTATTAATGCAAGGAGGTCAAATAATTTTCCATGCTCAATTATTTTTTTATTTTTTTATTTTGTTAAAAACATTTTAAATAAACAACAAATTTTGTTCACGAATGTGTCCCACTTGTTAATTCTTCACAAAAAATAAAAATGTTATCTCTTTATGTTTGAAGCCTGAAATATGACAAAAGGTTAAAAGGAGGCTGAATACTTTCACAAGGCACTGTACCCGTGTGGTGTGCTTTAGTGTTTTTCACAAAAAGCAACATGACCGCAGTATGCAGAGTGAATATTAAATATTAGTATGACAGCAGCAGTGTAGAGGTAGATGATTATGAATAAGGTGCAGTTATGCAGTAATGTAGAATAAGTTGTATGTTTACATAGATTAGTTCTGGTTCAGAGCCTGCTTCAAACAAAAACACAAGTCTCCATGGTTCTCTGTTATCTTTACGTTCTGCAGAGTCAGCTGTAATGTTAGTAGAAGAAGCTAACGTTAGCGCTGAACATCAGGTGTAAATATACGGCAAGCCAGAAGGGACAAAATACAGAAACACTCATCAGCTTCATCAGTTTCACACAAGACACCATGAGGAAAAATCAAATCAATTTTTCACAAATTTAAACAGAATCAATCAGAGATCAGTTAACAGGATAAAATTTACTCAGCCCTACTCTGAACATCCTGTTTTCTGTTCTGTAAGCCTTCTTATCAAACCTTGTTTGACACATTAAATTAAAATGTTTCTCTTGTTTATGTTGATCAGGAACTTCTCCTCAGATGATGAGATGTTTTAATAATTGAACCTGTTGGTGTCGTTCCTCTCCAGCCCAGCAGGAGGCGCAGCGAGCTCAGTTTTATGTAGAAAAGGCCAAACAGGAGCAGAAACAGAAAATCATCCAGGCTGAAGGAGAAGCTCAGGCTGCCAAGATGGTGAGTTCAAAAAAACAAGTTACACTTCCTGTCAGGCTGAAATATCAACATCTGAAGTCAGAAGAAACAGTTTATTTGTTGTTTTAACAGAATAAACTCTGATTTAAATGATTAAAGTTGATTTTAGGTTTAGATTAAAGTCAGAACGTGGTTTCTAATCACTTGATTAAATCCTCTGATGAAGCTCACCTGCTCTCACCTCACGCCTGCTGCTTTCATCCTGATGTTTCTGCTCGGGTGAACAGGCCCCACCCACTTCCTGTCCACCTGGGGCCCAAATATTCTGACTGTTTGTGTTTGTGTGACAGCTGGGCGAGGCGGTGACGAAGAACCCTGGCTACCTGAAACTCAGGAAGATCCGGGCGGCGCAGAACATCGCCAAGACGGTGAGGAGGAAGTCCAAACGGTTCTGTTTGTTCTGACGGGTTCTTTCTGACGAGTGTGTTCTGACGGGTTCTTTCTGACGAGTGTGTTCTGACGGGTTCTTTCTGACGAGTGTGTTCTGACGAGTGTGTTCTGACGGGTTCTTTCTGACGAGTGTGTTCTGACGAGTGTGTTCTGACGGGTTCTTTCTGATGGGTTCTTTCTGACGAGTGTGTCCTGACGAGTGTGTCCTGACGAGTTAGTTAGTTCTGACGAGTTAGTTAGTTCTGACGGGTTCTTTCTGACGAGTACGTTCTGATGGGTTAGTTAGTTCAGACGAGTTAGTTGGTTCTGACGGGTTCTTTCTGACGAATTAGTTCTGACGAGTTCGTTCGTTCTGACGAGTTAGTTCTGACGAGTTAGTTCGTTTTGACGAGTTAGTTCGTTCTGACGAGTTCGTTTTGACGAGTTAGTTCGTTCTGACGGGTTCTTTCTGATGGGTAAGTTCTGACGAGTTAGTTCGTTCTGATGAGTTAGTTCGTTCTGACGAGTTAGTTCGTTCTGACGAGTTAGTTCGTTCTGACGGGTAAGTTCTGACGAGTTAGTTAGTTCTGACGGGTTAGTTCTGATGGGTAAGTTCTGACGAGTTAGTTAGTTCTGACGGGTTAGTTCTGATGGG